GAGATTATTACTCCTACCCATTCCTATGATGAGCCAGTGCCTAACTGTCGCAAAATGGGTTAAATTACTCTTTTAATGGTTTCCAGATCTTGATTCGCTCAAGTGGAGTATAACAGAATACTCTTTATGAAAATCGCCTATGTAGGTGAGAAGGGGCCGCTTCTAAGAGAATTAGATGAAGATGAATTCTCTAAAAACACTCATGAACCAGGAGGTGTCCAAGGCCAAAATGGACACAAACGTGAGGACCAACTGTGTTCGAAGAGAACTGTGTGACTTCTATTGTCTAGGTTTACATGAACGGCTGACTGTTCAAAGCAACTTGCTACTGATTGGCTAAATAAATTCGATAGGCTTTACTAGAGAAAGTTCAAAGTTTTTGGCTACTTATCTTGATGCAGTTTTCTTCAGAAAAACATATCAGATATTGTTGTTCGGAAAATGCCGACATATTTCATTCATGTAGGGGATTGTTAGAAAATGATATGAAATGGGTCAACTTTGGACCCAAATTTCAGTGGGACTCACATCTTAATTAATACGGGACCTATCATATTCACGTTCTACTCCGTAAGGTGATGAACATGTTATATTTATTTATCGAAACCATTTAGAATTGAATGGAATATTTAATTTCAAATTAACCCACTTGAAACTATGAATTAGTGAAGAATTTGATTTGCCCAAACACTTATCCCACATAGGAAAGTTATGAAACTTTGGTGTGATTTATATGGTGCAAGTTTGTGAATTGAGTTTGGGTCCAAAGGGGTACCAATAGTTTTTGGAAGGGGGAAGACTTATATCCTATCGGGTTCGATCATAAGCCTACATGTGGGCGCCGCCGTTCGTCCGACCGATCGACCGGCTCGACTCAGCATGGTACAAGCACGTGCCCATGTTCAAGTCCGGTTCGGTGTGGGTGAGTCCTTGCATTATATTAATTTTTTGGACAAAATTTATTTGAATTTTTGGACCAAATTATATAAAATCAAATTCTTGGGTACTTAATAAAATTTATTTTTTTCATTGGCTTTTTTCAGGTAATTTTTGGTCTGGATGGTCTGTTAAACAGTCGACTGTTAACCGTCGACCGTTAACCAACTTAACAGACACAGTATTGAACTAACATATTTGTTGGAGTTTGGGAGGCTATCTAAACAGTGACGGCTGTTCTGGAGGATGTTCGAATGGCCACGAACAAGTCTATAAATAGCCTACCTCACTATCGAAAAAATTACACCATTTTCATTGCAAATTTTCTCTGCTTTAAATCTCATTCTCTCTCTCATTCTGATATTGTTTTCGAAGTAAAAACACTTTGTTGCGTTCGTTGAAATTCCTGCAGATTGCTGTGCTGCTTCCGTAGGAGACGAAATTCGTTCTTTCCTGGACAAAGATTGTTGGACACCTTTAGCACCGTTGAAGGTAGTAAATTCATTTTAAGGAAACATCGTGAAATCAGTGGGCTCGAATTTAATTTTCTATAGTACTGTTACGGTAATTCTTTCAAATTGCTTGAAGAGGAAATTTATACTCCAGAACAACATCGAGAACTCATGTTGATGACGTGCAGGAAGAATCATTAAGCAGAAAGAGGGGAAGGTGATAATAAAGAAGAATGAAGAGGAGGCAATACGGGAGAGAGATATATATATATATATAAGTCGAAGAAGAGGAATAGGTGGGATGTATTGCGTAGGATGTGAATCGTGGTGATAAGAAGCCGAGCCATGATCAGATTGGGATTTGCTAGACTTTATCCCAGGAATTACAAAGTGAGATGCAATTCCAACTCTTTGGGAGGATTGAGGATGCAACACAGTCCATTTCAAGGAAAAATAGGTGGGATGCAATACCTATTTCTATCGATTGAATGATTCAAATGCAACCGACTGTAGGACGGGCTACTCTTAGAGCAACCTCGATAGGAGCAACTTGGGATGCCATACTGAAGCTGGAGAGATCGACTGCTCCAATTTCCCAATGGTCAAGGTAGATGTGGGATGAGACTCTAGCCACTGCGAGAAGTGCAACAACAATGGACGACGCTATCCCCTGCTTTTGCTTATACCACAAGCGTTACTCATGTTAGCTCTATAGATATTGATAATATTTTCTGTGAGAAAAAATTTCTAACATATAAACATAATCACTATCACAAAGAAAAAAATTATCTGCCGTGGAAGAACAGAGTAAATGTAGTCGACGAAAAAGCTACTGTTGAGGAAAAGAAAACGAAAGGAAGAATTATGTTTGTGGTGGAACAATATTTTATTTTATGTACAAAATATGTTAAAAACATAGTTATGTAATATTACTTAGAGCTTGTTTGAGTCCCATTTTTAAGAAAATCGCATTTTTGGAATAATAGATTGATAGAGAATCTGTCGTTAAAAAAATTAAAAAGAAGAATAAATCCCCTGTAACATTCCCTTCATATGAGGGGAGGGGCCCACGGCCAATTAATGTCCAGGTCCTACTCCCCATGTGAGGGGGTGTAGCAGGGTTGTAAAAAAGAAATGTTATGCGTTTGTGTGTAATATTATTTTATTGAAAAATGCCTAGTTAAAAAAGAGATGAAAAATATATTTAAAAAACAATATATATATATATATATATATATATATTATTTGTGTGAATATTAAAGCAGGTCTATCTTTTTGGGATGAAGTGAGTATTTTATCAGTTGATGTGCCTACAACAGATAAAGTAATATTATAAAGTGAAAGAACCTTATTACTCCTAGGCGAAAGCTTTATGCTTGACGACTACGTCTTATCGCTTAGAAACGATGGAACCCACTATTTCTTTATCCATTTAATTTATATTATAAACCAACCATTATAACAAAAATCAAAACTCTTCTTAATTAATCATTCGACGACTTAATTTTATTGCCAACGCCTTGTTAAATCTAGTTATAAATTTCCAGATATACGTATATTTAAAAAATATAATAATGTTATTCATCATGTTCAAGAAGAAGGAATCGAAACATTTCCTCACAACTACCAAATTTATGAGTTAGTGATTTGTTGCACGAGGTAATAAAAAATTACCATGTTAATGTATTAACATCATTAACCGCCACACTTATGTCACGTAGGGTGACTACAAATAGTATTACCCTTTAGGTATTACATTATGATTAATGAAGTCGCAAGACTAAATAAATGGATGATTATATTCACACCTCATTTTCTTTAGTAAATACACCACATTTTAATTCCATTAATGGCCATTAACCTTTATTCATTATTATATTTTTTTCCTTTTTTTCTCATCATATTTTTAAAACATTTTATTGATTATAAAATCTTGTTCAAAATTATGATTTTCGTCTAAAAATATTGTTAGCGTGCTCTAAAATAAGGTTCAAATATTTAATCATATTTTTGTATTATTATTTTTTTTGCTTATATAAAATATAAGAGACAAATGAGTTTTTTTTTTTTTTTTTAATTACTATAAGGAAAATTTTGGAGAAAACTCATAATCATGAAAAATTTATGTTAATTTGAGTCGCCGATCACGATAGTCGGCTTACGTGGCATACATATGATGATTAGTGATTTGTTACATGAGGTAATAAAAAATCATTATGTTAATGTATTAACATGATTAATCGCCACACTTATGTCACGTAAGGCGATTGCAAATAGTATTACCCTTTAGGTATTACATTAAGATTAATGAAGTCGCAAGATTAAATAAAAGGATGATTATGTTCACACCTCATTTTTTTTTTAGTAAATACACCACATTTTAATTCCATTAATGGCCATTAACATTTATTCATTATTATATTTATTTCCTTTTTTTTCATCATATTTTTTAAACATTTTATTGATTATAAAATCTTGTTCAAAATCATGGTTTTCGTCTAAAAATATTGTTAAATGTTGTAAAATAATGTTCAAATATTTAATCATATTTTTCTATTATTATTATTTTTGCTTATATAAAATATAATGGACAAATGAGTTTTTTTTATTACTATATCTTAAGGAAAATTTTGGAGAAAACTCATAATCATGAACAATTTATGTTAATTTGAGAATAAGAATGCGATAAAAAAAGTTTGAGATATAAATATGATAATATGTAAATATCATGAACCTTTAATGTAATTAAAATATAGTTTAGTTACTAAAAAATGCAGTTCAAATATAATCAGTTATTTAGACTAAATAAAGTTCGTAAGGGCATTTTCGGCACTACAACTATTATTTATACTATCAGGGTAAAGAAAAAAAATGATAAAGGGAGGTATGCATTACCATTAACTTAAAGTTAGAGAGGTTTGTATGATTTTGAAAAAAAGAGGGATGTAATTGTTAGAAATCTCAATGAGGTCTTGATTAAGTTGCAATTTAAAGAACTAATAAGTTCCACCAATTCGAGCTTGTTCTCATTTACATTATCCTAGTCGATTAGAGACAAATTCATTCAAAATAATGGTAAAGTCTTGTTTTGCCGCGCATTTCTTCTTGGTAAAGTCAAAGAATGTTTTATAACGTGAAGCCAATATCAAGTCCTCACTTCACCCAATGATATCATGATTCTTATTTGAAGCACTAAGCATGGGAGCGATTCATTCATAAAACTTAAACTACAATCAATATATAGGCATAGGATCGATTAATTTGCAGTAAGTTTGCCTTGAATCTGCACATTTATGTGGATAAACTTACAATAGATTTCATCTTGTTTTGCTACAAGTATTTTTATGGGTAAATTCAAAGAGCACTGAATAAGTATATGTTCATATAGTTTTCGATTCACTCAATAATCATATCACGATGCTCATACTAAACCGTAAAACTACAATCTATTTGTAAGAAGTTTCATTGGAACATACCTTGCCGATGACCTACAATATAAAAAAATCAAAATGAAATACATGAGTCCTCTAATTTTCTCAATAGTATAGTTAGATAATTTAAGGAAGAATATGAAAATGGAATCATGGAGTCGCACGACATTTTTCCAACAAAGGTAGATTTATACACTAGGACCCTACCCTTGTAACTGACCGTACGTATTCACTCGAATATAATAGTCTATAGAAAGTAACGCCGCACAGTGCACTTTGACTGCGGTCTGCTGTCACTTTCTCAAGCCGCAAAACGGAAATGAACTCTTCCTCCTCGGTGAATGATCCAATGCCAGCAACCACCCATCCTTTAACCACCGAAATTGACGATGATGTCGAAATGGAGTACGAAGAAGTAGAAGAGGTCGGAAAAGAGGTTGAAATCGAAGAAGGAAAAGATGACGACTTTGGAGAAGATTTAACTCCTATTCGGGAAGAAAATAATCAGAATGGTTAGTTTTATACAATTGATTTGAAAATTGAGCTATTTTTGGGTTGTCGTTAATTTTTTTCCTGTGGAAATTTGTGGGAATTTTATCTGTTTTATTTTGAGGAATGTCGTCGATACAGTCCGTTTGTAGGGTTTTGATTTTTATTTTACACGAATTTTGTGATTGTGGGTTTATGTCATTTCTATGTGTGAGCACGATTTCTGATTTTATGGCTTGATCATTCAAAATAGGACGGATTCTTGATTTTTTGAGGATTATGTTCTTGATACAACTTAATTTTTGGGATTTTTTTTCACGAATTTTGTGGTTATTGGTTTATTTCATTTATATGTGCGACATTAGATATTTACATTCCGCTGATGTTATGCGTTCGGATCATTCAAAAATAAAAATGAACTGGTTCTTGTTATTAGGATTATTATTTTTTTAATTAAATTCTACTTTTGGGTTTTTATTTATTTATTTATTTTTGTATGAATTCTCTGATTGGGGTCTCTCATTTCTATGCATCTACACAAATTTATGGAAATGCATATGATATTTATTTGCTATCTGATCATTCAGAAAAAAATGGATTCTTGATTTATTGAGGAATGGTTTTGACAAAATCTATTTTTGGACTTTTCTTTTTTCTCATTTTACATGAAATTTTGTCATTGTGGGGTTCTCTTATTTCTATGCACTAACATGATTGATTGGAAATGCATATGATATTTATTTCCCTTAATTTCTTTGTAAGAACCATTTTGTTTTTTGTCCAGTTTGGTGATTCTACATGCATGTATGTTTTTTTTCCTCACCAATGATTTTTGTCATGCAAACAAGTCCCTATATAATTTAATTGTTGTTAATTTGAAATGAACGTTTAAATGACGCTAAAAATAGAGCACTGGCATCTGGACAACCGGCAAAACACGGAGATGCCAAAGCTGCATTGATTGCTCACTGCCAATCCATGTATTTATTACATTTGCATCCTGTGTTCAGCTCCACGCGTCTAATTTTCTGTGGCACAGGATGCTTTAGTCGAGCATTGGCTTTTGACAACTGTCGAGAAGAAGAGACGCCACAATTGCATTGACTGTCCACTGTTGAAGTGTTTAATGTTGCATGCTGGAACGTTTGTATGTGATAGGAGGACTAGTTTCCATTACATGTATATCTACATCATATAATAAGTTTATGATGTATCATTTTGTCGTTACATTAATTAACGCACACCTTTAGGAAAGACTTTGGCAGAATATAGATTACATGAATCCAGTTCCCTACAAACCAGATGGGGATCTAGTGATTCCAGTGAGGTTCAAAGGAAATTATAAAAAGAAAAAGAGCCAACGAATGGTTTGCAGTTGAAGGAATGGCAGCTTAACAAGTAGCTGGAACAGAAGATGCCATCGGAAATCTTTAGTTGCACTTACATTCTGTTGTGCAGTTCATATTGGTTCTCGAGTTTTGGATGCTCTCTCATGGCTTTATATACTTAACAAATAGTTATTGCTGTTTCTTTGTCTGTAAAGAACATACAAAACATGATTTTGCAAGCCTGATTCATTTGTGGTAACAGTTTTGTTTTGTTTTGTTTTGTTTATCATTCTCCTTGATCTATTCCAATAACAACAATGTCAATGCACTGTTTCAGGTTTGCCAATTTAATGACTTAGTCTTCTAGTTCAATTGCTTCCACAATTATTGGTAAATTTATTTTGTTGAGTTGGGATTCAGTTTATTTTATGTAATTGTTATAATATAAAGTGAGAAAATATTGGACCATTTAAAAGAATCAATTCGATGTAAATTAGCAGTTAGTAGTTTGTTGGTGTGAAAATCAATGAACTGAGAATAGGAGGGCCAAAATGGTATAAAAATATACCTTTCCAGGTGTTTAGGACTTCTGTGAAATATTTCTGAAATTGACTTAGATCTTGGAAAGTTATATCTGGACTTACAAGTCCTTTACATTGTAAAATAGGACTTAATGCTTCCTTTTAAGCTTTTTTTGTGATTATATTTGTTCCTTATTTGTAGATCCTAGTGGAGATACAGGTCTTGAAGAGCACATGAGATCGGGTTTAATGACATCAGGAAAAGATGTTGCAGAACCACAACCAAATATCCCCACTATACTGGGCAATACTTGCAAGCTCAACATTTCAGAGTCAAGTGAGGACAGACCAAAGGTGGAGTCACGTGGCGATGGTGAGGATTTCGAGTATCCTATAATGTCAAAAAATGCTCTCAAGAAAATCTATGAAAATGTTATGTTTTGTTTGTTTTCTGAGAAGTTTTCTTAGCTCTCCTTGAGTTTTATCATTAGAATCACTAGTTCAGAAAAATAACCATAATGCTTTTGCAGGTAAAAGAACCCTGAAAGACTGATGAGAAATCAATTAGCAGTTTGTTGATGTGAAAATTAATGAACTAAGAATTGAAGGGAAAAAGTTAAAGAAATATGCCTTTTCAGGTGGTTAGGACTTCTATGAAATATTTCTGAAAGTGACTTAGATCTTATAAAGTTATATCTGGGCTTATACTGTTCTTTATGTGTAAAATGGGACTTAAATGTTTCCTTTGCTTTAACCTTTTTTCGTGATTATTTGTTTCTTCTTCGCAGATCCTAACAGAGTTACGGGTCCTGAAGAGCACTTGAAATCCAGTTTAGTGACTTCACGAAAGCATGCGCATCCACTACCAAATATCCCCAATATCCTGGGCAATACTGGCAGGCCAAAAATCTTTGAGTCAAGTGAAGACAGACCGAATACAGAGTCATGTGGAGATGGTGAGGATTTCTAGTGTCCAATATTGTCAAATAATGCTCTCAAGATAAACCATAAAAATGTTATTATTTGATTGTTTTGTGTAAATTTTCTTTGCTTTCAGTTTTATCATAAGAATCACTGGTTCAGAAAAATAACCATAAGGCTCTTGCAGGTAAAAGAACTCTGAAAGACACTGATGAAAAACCTTTTTCTGACAGTCGGGGAATGAATTCTTTGAACAGCAAAGCTTCTGCTGGATCAGTCAGCGCTACAACATCAATGATTGATGCATCTAGGGAGAAGTTTTATGGTGCTGAGTATTTTGCTGCAGTGAACACAAAGCAAATGTCACAAAGGTATAACACCTATTTGAATTAATAGTAGTTTTTTCCCCCTTACTAGAGTTGAATCCTGATGGTGTCTATTTTTCAGGCTGAACACTTCCCAGACAAGGCCTAGAGATTTGTCATCAAGCACTGAGTTGACAGGTGGGATTAAAAGACAGAGGATTGTATGTGAATTTCATTCCAAGGGATGGTGCATCAAAGGGAATACTTGTAGGTTCCTTCATATAAAGGAGGGAGCTGTGGATGCATCAACTGGACATATAACCAGGACGTCTTTTGATGATTGGGAACCATCTGTTCCTTTCCGTCCATCACACTTCATCACTGAGAAATTACTGTCTCAGGCAAATCTGTGTGACCCCATTCGTGATAGCATTGAGCCAACAAAAGTTAGAGATGGGGTCTCAAAAATTTCTGGTGGTGGCGATCTACATTCAACCGGAGATGTTGATCCAAAGGCGATCATATTGAGTACAAGTCGTGATTCAGGAAAACTAGGTGAATCAATTCACGTGACAGAACCAGACTTGGATAAAGTCAGTCTAAAGAATGAGCACAGTGGATATCTGCAGAAGGAATCAAAAGAAATGAAACATTTTAGAGCTGTTCTTGTGGAACATGTTAAGGATTTGGTAAAACCAACTTGGCTTGAGGGCCTTCTGAGCAAGGACGCTCACAAATTGGTAGTTAAGAAGGCAGTCGACAAAATTCTGAGCTCATTTCAACCACCGCATCAGATTCCTAGCACGGGTGAATCAATTAAGTCCTATCTTTATGTGTCTCAGCCCAAAATTGAAAAGCTAGTTGAGGTAGTGCTTATAATTACACTGATATATATACTGAGACAGACTGATTGATATAAACTATTTTCACATTTGACATTTGGTTATTACTATTGCAGGGATACATGGAGAAGTATGGGAAATCTTGAAATGGCTTTCTGGTTGTTCTTTCTAGCATATCCTGTACCATGCCAACTGGAAGTTCTGAACCATTGTTCGTGGATTATCAAGCTTTTCTTAGGCTAAGACTGGGACTACTGAAATGCTTTTGATTCTCAGATGTCCAGTTTTATGGATAAAACTTTGACCCCCCTTATACGTGGGAGTGTAAGTGTTTTGTCTAAACTCTATATGACTTTAATTTTCTATCCTTTGTATCATGTTGACTTTGCAAATAGAGACTGGATTTTCTTTGTAGCTGGCTTTTGAGGTAGCCTTAAAATTGGTGAAATTTTAGAGTGGTTAGAGCATGCAATAGAAGACGAGTTAGCAAGCGAAGTGACCAATGAGTATTAGGTCCTAGCAATGAGGCCCTTTTGATTTCTCCTTGAGTTGGAGTGGTCAGAAAAGAGAATATTCTCTTTACCCATGAGAAACAATTTAATACTAATTGAATGCTTGTTTTAAGGTCAACTCTTGGGGGGGGGGGGGGGAT